TGAGATGGCTAGATTGGCACAGGATAGAACAGCATTTAGAGCTCTTGTACATAGGGTCGCTATGAGTCGCAAGCGACTCGATGGCACATAACAACAACAACAACAATCAGCTATGGGCTGGAAGGCTCTTGTCTAAGCAATCAGGACCTGGTGTGTGGGCCTTTATATTTCAAAGTGTTAACTGTGTTTGGGGAGAACATTGTTCTAAGTGGTAACAGCACTTGTCTGTCAGTTTGCTGTACAGAGTTAATTTGGGGTTGCTGTGATTCTGAAAGTTATGCCTCTGGTGTGTCAAATGCCATGTTAACCATGGTGAACAGTTTTTGGTGGATTTCCTTGATTGAGACAGAGTAGGAAGCAGGATGGGTTATCTACTTCCTAAATAACAGGTCTTTGAAGACTCTATGAACATCTTGCTTGGAACCACAATTAACACCCTAAGTGCTGTCAGTCATGAAATAAGAAGATGCATTGCACTGGGAGAAACTGCATTTAGGCACCTTTCCAAATTATTGAGAAGTAATGATGCCAGTTTGAGGACTAAAATGTGTCTGATTCTGGCCATAGCCTTTCTGGACACTTGCTGTGCATCTGAGAACTGGATAATGAATAAAGATGACAGAAAAAGAATTGAAGCCTTTGAGCCATAGTGTTGGAGAAGAGCACTGAACATTCCACAGACAGCCAAGAGAACAAACAGGTATGTCTTGGAGACGGTGCAGCCGGAGTGCTCTTTGGAAGCAAGAATGATGAGGCTTCACTTAACATACTTTGAGCATGTTGCTAGAAGAGGCTATTCCTTGGAGAAGGACATGATTCTTGGAAGAGTGGCAATTCAGTGAAGGAGATGTCAGCCAGGTGGATTGACATGGTGATTTCTGTAATGGGCTCTGGTGTGTCACTAAGTGTGACTATGGCACAGGATAGAACAGGGTTCAGATCTTTTGTTCATAAGGTTGCTATGAGTCATATTCCACTTGACGGCACATAACAACACAATAATAGTAATAAAAACCACCTACAGCACTACTGTTTTCTTTGTTAGGAAAAAAACACCATCAAGAGAGAAAATAAGAAAGATGATGATGCCCCAAATATGAAGGGACTAGAGAAGGCACGTGAAATGTTTGTATCAAAAAATAAGAGGAACAAACTGTGGAGGTAGAGTAATAATGCTGACAAGTGCGGATGGTCCTTGTGGTACACAGGCTCTCAGATGCCCACATTTTTTTCACTCTTGCAGCATTCATACACTTATGTAATCTTCCCCGCTTGAATATCAACAGAACATGGAAGAAGTGGTAATAGAACATTACCCCCTAGATTAGGCTAAAAAAGACCATGGCTTCTATTTTTGGCTCTTTTTATATCTTGGATTACTCACTCTAGAGGAAGACAGCTTCCATGTCTCAATACATTGCTGTAGTCTAAGTATGGAGAGGCTATAGCCTGCTCTGGAAGTAGATTTTAGTCTCTTCTACTCCTACTGTAGACAAGCTATAATCTCATAGAATCCCAAACAAGTTTGACTGTAACTTCATGGGAGACCTTGTGACACAGTGACCCAATCAAGCTTTGCCCATGTTCCTGACAAAAAGTAAAAAAAGTAAATATTTGTTGCTCTCAACAACAACAGCATAGAGAGAGATCAGTTGGACTAGTAGACAGAAAGTGATGTTATCAAGCCAAAGGTGGGTGACTCTAATCTGTGAGCCTCAGAACTGTTTTTAATGGTTTTGGTCAAACATCCTTCTAGGTCATATAGCCCTGGTGTGTCCACTTGCTGTATAGAGGTGGTTGCTGTACTGGTGGTTGCTGTGAAGCTGAACACTGTGACACTTATGTGTCAAATGAGATAATGGTTACTCATGGCGGACAGTGTTTGGTGGAGCTCCCCGATTAAAACAAGTTTGGAAGCAGGAGTGGCATCTACTTCTGAAATAGCTTGCCTCTGCAAACCCTATGAACCTGGAGAAAGGATGAAAGTTATACAAATGTTCAGGTCTTTCGTTCATAGTTCATTATGAGTCACCCATAACTCGACGGCACTTAACAACAACATCATCTAAGTTTTTTAATAATATTCTGCATCTATAAACACAGGTCACTCAAGATATGTCATCATAAATTTAAGTAATATTTTAATGAAGTTATAAATGTAAAGTAAGGTATTCAGTAAAGTTATAAAAAAGATATTCAATAAAGTATGTTTTCTTTTCTATTCATATTAAGATGCTCAGGAAAAGGTGTACCAGGATATAAATCACATTTTAAAACAAACCATGTCTACAGGAGAAGTGAAAAGGATGTGGAAAAGAAAAGGTGACAGGAAATACAGACTTCCATCTTTAATTTCAATATTTTTGCACAATTGGAATAATTTATAGTTAACTAATACAATCTCTGGTGCTATAGTTGTAAGGAGCTGTATTGCTACCACAGAGATATGCAGATTTAATCCACCAGCTGCTCCATGGAAGAGAGATGGGCAGTCTTCTCCCATGCTATTATCCCACTGGAAGGTCAGCTGTATGGCAAATTTTACTTGAATGCACATAAGTCCAGCAACAACTAACACCCTTGGTATCAGCAGTCAGGAAATAGGAAGATTCATTGCACTGGGAAAATCTGCAGTTAGGAACCTCTCCAAATTACTGAAGAGCAATGATGCTAGTTTGAGTACTAAGGTGAGTATGATTTAGGCCACCAGTTTTTCCAGTCATTTGCTACCCATCTGAGAGTTGGACAATGAATAAGGATGACAGAAGAATTGATGACTTTGAGCTGCGGTGTGAGAGAAGAGCATTAAATATCCCATGGACAGCCAAGAGAAAAAAAAAAAAAAGACATGTCTTGGAAAGGGTGTAAATGGAGTGCTCTTTGGAGGCGAGAATGATGAGGTTTCACATACTTTGGGCATGTTGCTAGGGGGGATTATTCCTTGGAAAGGGAAATGATTCTGGGAAGTGTGGACGGTCGGCAAAAGAGAGAAAGACCCTCCACTAGCTGTACTGACATGGTGACTACCACAATGGGGTTTTGTATGTCAGGAAGTCTGAGTATGGTACAAGAAAGAACAGGAAAGAACAGGGTTCAGATCTTTGGTTCATAAGTTCACTATGAGTCAAATTAAACTCAGTGGCACCTAACAACAATATATATTCTTTATGTGTTATGCTACATGCTGTTGATTTGACTTCAAATAATGTTGATCCTAAGAAAAACAGATTAGAATCTAACCTCTTCTTGTACCATCACCACGCACGATCACCATTTTTTTATATATGTAGTTTATTTTTTAAAAGATGATCTTAGAAACACAAAAGTTGCTCTGGAGACATCTTTTTCATAAGATGCTACAGAACACAGGCAAAGTAGTCTGTGTAGTAAGAAGAGCAAAGCCATGATATTGATCTGCTTTGTGAATGACAATCTGTGGTTCCTGGCTTTCTTTGCAGAACTGGAAATATTCCTTGGAATATTCATGAGTGAAAGACAAAGCTCTTGGATTAGAGTTAGGTTATTTGCAAATGCTAGGTTTAACCCTTAAATATTCCCATTCTTTTGCAAAACTCCCTATGAGGCCTCTGCTCAGAGACCAGTACTTTCTGGTTCATATTTGGATGTTGCTTCTGGCGGAGCATTGTAAGTCTGCCTCCCATCACCCAAGTCAGCTTCATTTCCTATCTTTTGTGGAAATGATCTGGACCCCTGGGATAAAAGGTATCATTTAAGAGTCAAGTACATTAAGTTACACAGATTACGCAAAGCTTTCACTGACTATGTCATCTTAGCGGATTTATTCTCTCTAGATGCTGCTCTAAGAAGGTGTAAATATACATAAGAATTATGACTTCTTTAGTTTTACTTTGTTTTTCCATTCTAGTGTCAAGATTTATGATGGCAAATCTTTCACTTGTGAAGTTTCCCTGGTAATTTTAATCACTTACTCTGACTACTTAAAAAAAAATCTTTTCTCTAAAGAGAATATGGAAGAATGAAGTTAATTTAATAGTCAATTCTCTGAAAATATTAAAAATTAATAACAAGTTGTTAAATATAATCTATTTTCATTCCTGGTAGGCTAAAATCATCTTGAAAGTTGGAACTGTATTTTCTTTACCTAATATTCAGCATTCTCTGAAAACCTTTTACTTTTTAACAGGCAAGTAATATGTATAGAATACTCCAACGTGTCATGCAGTATGTATATTATCCTTGGTTACATTGTATTTCTGCTATACTAATTTTATCTCTATTCTACTTCTTTTTATTTTTTCTACCAATTTATAGATCACATTTTATATGATTCCTTTAAATTTTTTTATTCATTATTATTGTTGTTAAGTTCCATTGAGTCATAGGCGACTCATAGCGACCCTATGAATGAAAAACTTGGGCACTTGTATAACTTTCATCCTTTTTCAAGGTTCATAGAGTTTCTAGAGGCAAGCTATTTCAGAAGTGGATGCCACTCATGCTTCCAAGGCTGTTTTAATCAGGGAGCTCCACCAAACACTGTCCACCATTGGTAACCATTCTCAAATTTGACACATAAGTGTCACAGTGTTCAGCTTCACAGCAACCACGAGTTACCTCTGTACAGCAAGTGGACAGACCAGGGCTATATGACATAGAAGATTGTTTGAACAAAAACAATCAAAACCAGGCCTGAGGGCCACAGATCACTGTCCATAATAGGTAATCATTCTTACATTTGACATTAAGTGTTAATTCATTCCAAAATTGCCCTTTCATAGTTTCAAGTGTCTACAAAGAACTGGCTTAGTATCACTAATACCAAGTATATTAAAACCAACTTAACTTCCGTAATTAACAAATATAATTTAGACTTTAACATGTATCCATTCATTGTTGCATAAACACGTGACAAAATTAATTACTAACTTAAAAATTTGCTTAATGTCTACCATTTGCATTTTACAGTAGATTCCATTAGTTCAAGGGGAGTTCTTGAACCCTTTGTCTCTTGTACCGACCTTCACAGGATTCTCCATTTGGTGAAAACATCCCGTTGTCATGGTAGCCATCCCTGCACTCACAGTGGTACCATCCAGGCAAGTTAATACAATTAGCACGGCTATCACACTGAACAAAGCCATCAGAGCACTCATCAATGTCTGGAAAAGAAAAGGGGAAAAAAGGGGGAGTTAACTAAATTTCCAACAGAAAGTAGAAATTCTGCTATAAGCCTGGTAAAAATTCTATAAACTAGGAAAATTTAAAAGTAAAATGTTCAATTAGTTGTTAAAAGCTATGAAATAAGAATATGTTGTTGTTGTGTGCTGTCAAGTCAACTATGACCCATAGTGACCCTATGGAAAAGGACTCAAATTACACTATCCTGCCAATTTCACCATCTCTAACATACCAGAGCCCAGCGCCTCAGTCAGGGTGTCAATCCATCTCATCCAAGGTGTTCCTCTCTTGTGCTGACCTTATACTCTTCCAAGTATGATGTCTTTCTCAAAAGACTAGTCCCTCCTGACAACATGCCCAAAGCATGTGAGAGATAGAGTTTCAAAATCCTTGCTTCCAAGGATCAATCTGGTTTTACCTTTTCCAGGGCATATCTGTTCATTCTCTTGGCAACCCATGGAATGGTCAGTACTCTTTTACAGCACCAAATCTAAAACACATTGATTCTATCTTCCTTATTCACTGTCCAGCTCACAGAAGTATTGCAAGAAAATCAGAAGACTATGGCTCCATTTTTCTTGATTTGTAAACATATTTACTGAAGTTTAATAGAAATGAATGGATTATGAAATGTATAAATGTAGGAAAATTGGAAGATGTAAAAAATAAAATGGAACACATGAAAAATAACTTTTGAAGCAACAAGATTGACTAGCAGGGGCCACTCTGAATCAACCAACCATGTGATCTATTAGGCTAAGGATGACAAATTGGGGACAGCTACATTCATAGCAAAAGACAATTTCAAGATCTATTGTGAAATACAATGTTCTGAGTGACAGGATACTAACTATATGTGTACAAGAAAAACCTGAAAATATGATTTTTCAAATATATGGACCAACAAGTAAAGCCAAATAGGAGGAAACTGAGGATTTCACTCCCATTCCAGAAAATAAGGTGGCCTAACAGAGTGCAGAAAGTATCAAACAATATCACTAAAGTTACATGCCAGCAAGATCCTGCTAAAAATTATCCCAAAATGACTGGAAGAGCTTTTGGTGTTTCCTAAAGTGTGAGTGATCCTAGTGAGAGCACTATTGTGTGCTCATATTTAGATGGATCAAGCTGAAAGCAGAGAATACCAGAAGAATGTCTGTTTGTGTTTTATTAACTATGCAAAAGTATTAGATTATGTAGATCATAACAAACTATGGCTAACATTGAGCAAAATGGGAATTCCCAGAAAACCAAATTATGCTCACATGAAACCTACTTCCAGACCAAAAAGCTGTTGTATGAACAGAGCAAGAAAGAGAATACTGACTACATAGTTCAAAATCAGGAAGAGTATGTGTCAAGGATGTAGGCTTTCTCTACATGATACATTTGTATGCTCAACAAATCATTTGAAAAGCTGGCTTCTATAAAAAAGAATGTGGCATTAGGATACAAAGAAGACCCATCAGCAATTTGTTGTTGTTACACAGATGATACAACCTTGCTTGCTGGAATTGAGATATATAAAACACTTGCTACAGAAGATCAAAGAATACAGTTTTTAATATGGATTGTATCTTAACATCAAGAAGACAAAAAAAATTCAACACTGGACTGATAAACAACATCACGACAGATGGAGAAAAGATTGAAACTGCCAACAATTTCATCGACAATCAACACTCTTTGTACCAACTATAAGGAGATCAAGAGATATACTGTACTGGAAAATTTCCCTTCAGGGATCTCTCCAAATTACAGAGGTGCAATAATGTCAGTTTAAAGACTAGAGTTTAAAGACTAAGTCTTCCTGATTCAGGCAATGAACTTATTAATCATTTGGTGTATGTCTGAGAGCTGAACAATGAATAAGGATGACAGAAGAATTACTGGTGCTTTAGAACTGTGGTGTTGGAAAATGAGTCCTGAATACCCCATGGAGTGCCATAAACACAAACAGATATTTCTTGGGAAAAGTGCATCAAGAGAGTATTTCTTGAAGACAAAGCTTCATCTCACATACTAGGGCATGCTGCTAGGAGAGTCTGTTCCTTGGAAAGGGACATTATATTAGAAAAAGTGGACAGTCAGCAAAGGAGAGTGAGACAAACGATATGAATTGACGTGGTAACTTCAGCAACAGGCTCAAGTGTGGCAGTGATGATGAGGATGGCACAGGACAGAAGTGGGTTCAGATCTGTTGTGCATAGTGTTGCTACGAGTTCTCCTTGACTCGATGACACCTGACAATAACACCACCAATACAAATGCCATGCGTTACATTATTTTGAAGATTTGGATAAAAATTATACCTGCCATCACGTATTTTCAAACACAATTTTAGCACTATTTTTATTATTAAATTCAAACTACTAAGTCATATCTAAGTAACATCTAAGAGGATGAACCTAACTATATACTTCATTCTTCAATTTTCTATCCAGTATTTAACGAGTACCTGTTATGCACCAGTATCAAGTGCTGAGGAAATAAGGCTGCAATGGCTACTCTCACTGTATTTTGTAATCTACTTAAACTGTCCTTTGCTGAAAAGAAACTTGAATGAAAATCTGAATTTACAACCATATAATACAAGGTTTCCCAAAGTATGATATACCGATTATTAGTATTGAGTCTAGTGGTAAGAAGCTGCCCTGCAATCCTGAAGGCATATTGTTTGAATCCACCAGCTGCTCAACAGAAGAAGAATGAGCTATCTCCTCCTTTTTGATCAACTGCCTCTGAAAACTCACTGGCGGGACAGCTCTGAGTAGGTTCTGACTCAACAGTACACAACAATAACAAGAGTGGCTAGGAAAGCATTCTAATTGCTACCATGAAGATGTCTGTTTATGCTTTACCAACTATGCAAAGACATTTGACTGTGTGGATCATAACAAACTGGCTAAAGAAAAATGGGAATCCCAAAACACTTGATTAGGCTCATGTGAAACCTGTACCTAGACCAAGAAGCTATTATCTGAACAGAATAAAAATTCTCATCGCCAGTACAATTGGCTGTATAGTGATAGATGAAGAAAAGTCAGAGGCTGTTAACAATCTCTTCTTGCTCAGATCCCTGATCAGCACTCTTGGCACTAGTAGTTAGTTAAGTAATTAAAAGATGAGCTGCTTTGGGAAAATCTGCCATGTAGGACCAAGTAGTATTTCATTTTGCTGCACATAGGATTGTTCTGTGTAGGAACCAACTCAAAGGCCCCTAACAACAATAAGAATGACTTTACTCAGTAACTAGTAAATTAAGGATTAAAATTTAATTCATAGTTTTTAAGTTTGGGAGATTTTTAAACAAAGACAGCATTATAAAATGATAAAAACATAACAAAACCAAACAAACTTCAAATAATTATTTCTTGGCTCCTAACAAAGTTAAAATCAAATCTTACTTTACCCAATTTTAGTAAGATACACAGAGAATATGCAGTCTAGGGAATAAACAAAAAAACTCCAATTTCTATTTCATATATGAGCTGCTGTACCAAGTTTGAACAAATTGCTTTTAAAATTGAGTAAATACTACAAGCCTGCTTCGCTTAATGCCCATGATACACTCTGTGGCGTAAATATTGTGTGAGTTGGATGTTGCATGAACACTATAGTAGAGTCTGGTTGCTTTTACTTTAAACATCCTGAACAAGATGTGTTTCTTAGCTGGGATCATCAACATGGTGAAGAGGGATCTGCTTATTTTTTTGCTTAGTCCTCAATACACATCATTAACAATTTCTTCATATTTTATATGTCTTTCTGGTATTTTTGCTAGCCTTACAGTGAGTGTATCAAATTTTTAACTAGCTTTCAGAAGTTTTTCTTTGTTTTTGAGCATCATGACTGTCAGTGACTAAATCGCAAACAACAGCATTCTTTTATTTCACTTTGTAGTGTTTAATAAACTTTTATTTCATTTGCAAATAAATTTTTCTCTTTTGACTCTTATGACTGCTGTCACTAGCACTAGTTTTGCTGCATTTGGGAATCATGATCATTTTATGGTAATATTTTTAAATGAAAATTAAACAGTGCTGTAACACTCAAGAGATTCTGGATGCAAAATGAGAGTGGATGCTACTGCCCGCAATGGAAAGCATATACTACCATAAACTTTTATATGAAACGTATGAAACAGTACACACATAAGCCAGGAACAAATGTTTATTGTAGCTATCAAAATGTATGTGTTATAGATTATAATTGTACTGTTCCATTTTACATCTAATAGTAAATAGTACTTTGAATACAAGAGATATGTGATACACGTGTTGTATGAGGGAAACTGTTGCACTAACTGCATCCTCTTCTCTGAAGGGGACTTTTGAACACTACTATATGAGATCACAGACCTATATGCAGCCAGAAGCTATCCTGATGGATGTTATGCAGCACATGACAGTAAGAAAATATTAGTACAGAATGCATATATGTGTATGGATAATATCTTATCATTCACAACATTGTAAGACAGGACAGAACTTGAAATTGACTTGTTGACTCTGAATGCAACACCATTCCTCTGTTTTTCATTCCCAGCATAGTATACCATGTGTTTATGTGATTCAGTGGCCAATGCTGGTCCACTTCATCTCACTAAAGCCTAGTAAGTCGATGTTCAGGTGTTTGATTTATTTTCCACAATTTACAGTTTTCCAAAATTCAAACTATGTATATGCCATGCTTCAAATAAAAAACAATGTTTGCCATTAATTTTCCTCATTTTGACTGACTTCCATTCTGGGCTCTACCATTACTACCCTATCCACATTCCTTAACTGTGCATAGGGTATTCGGAGGGCTGTTATTTAAGAAGTGGATGGCCAATCCTGCTGTCTTAGTCTGGGAGCTCTACTAACACATATCCACAATCAGTTAACTCTTGTGTTATTTGACACACTAGTGGCATAGTTTTCAGTATCACAGCAACCCACAAGTTATCTCAATCCAGCAAACTGACAGACAAATGTTG